CTGGGACTACAGGTGCCCGCCACAACTCCTGGCTATTTTTTTGTTGCAGTTTGGCCTGGGCCAGGTTCCAACTTGCCACCCTCAGTATATGGGGCCAGTGCCCTACCCACTGAGCAACAGGCACCACCCTGCAAAAATATTTTAAGAACAAAAACGATTCCCACTTTAAGTACTGAAGTTAGATGAAAGAGGAAAGGTTAATAGGTTTCTATATTAATTCTTAAAATGTCTGCCTCTTAGTAGGCTTTTGATTCAATCCCTTTACTATTAAAACCTCCTATAAAACATAGTAAATCCAAGTAAGGAAGGAAATCTTTTCTTTTTGGGGGAGACAGAGTCTCACTCAGTCATCCTGTGGTTGAGTGCCATAGGGTCATCATAGCTCACAGCAACCTCCAATTCTTTTTTTTTTGAGACGGAGCCTCAAGCTGTCCCCCTGGGTAGAGTGCCGTGGCATTACAGCTCACAGCAACCTCCAATTCTTGAGCTCAAATAATTCTCTTGTCTCAGCCTCCCAAGTTCCTAGGACTACAGCGTCTTGCCACAAAGTCTGGCTAGTTTTTCTATTTTTAGTAGAGATTAGTTTTTCTATTTTTAGTAAAGATGGGGTTTCACTCCTGCTCAGGCTCAAGCAATCCACCTGCCTCCGCCTCCCAGAGTGCTAGGATTAATGCCTGAGCCCAGCTAGAAATGTGTTTTTGATTTTTCAAAGCAAATGCTAAGGGCAAAATGCTTTCTGTTTAAAATAAATTTTTAGGTGAACAATTCACTAGAAATAATCTTTTAATCTATGCTTTCCCTACCTTCAATGGCATCAAGCATCTCAATTTGAAACCTTCCTTCTAAAGTCAATTTTGAAATTCTGAACTAATGCAAAATTGCGTCAACAGTTAATTTAAAATAAATAATCTCACAGTAATAGATATTTGACATGAGAGGTTTTGAACCTGATTTGCTTTCTTATTTTTTTATTATTTTTTTCTATTTGTATGATTAGCTTTTTAAATTGTATTGATTAATTGTTAAAAGACATACTAATTAGATAAGTTGGAAACAAAGAAGACTGGCCTAAAATTTCAAGCTAGAGCAGTGGTTCTCAACCTTCCTAATGCCATGGCCCTTTAATACAGTTCCTGTGGGTCGCGACCCACAGGTTGAGAAATGCTGAGCTAGAGGCTAAGTGGTTCTCAAACTTTATTGTAAATACGAATCACTTGGAGAACTTACTAAAATGCAGATTGTGGGCCCAGCACGGTGGTTCACGCTATAATCCTAGACCTCTGGTTGGATGAGGCAGGTGGATTGCCTGAGCTCATAGGTTCAAGATCAGCCTGAGCAAGTGCGAGACCCCATCTCTTAAAAAAAAAAAAAAAAGGACTGGGCATTGTGGCAGGTGCCTATAGTCCCAGCTACTTGGGAGGCTGAGATGAGAGAATGGGCTGAACTCAAGAGTTTGAGGTCACTGTGACCTATGATGCCACAGCACTCTACTGAGGGTGACAAAGTGAGACTCTGTCTCAAAGAAATAAAAAAAATGCAGATTCTGGTCTGGGACTGGGGTTCTGTAATGTTCCCAGGTGCTACTGGCTTTCAGAACACACACTTAAGGTAGCAAAGTTCTAGGCCAAGGGTCTGCAAACTATAGTCCTTGGGCCAAATTTGGCCTTCTGTTTTTGTGAATGAAATTCTGTTGGAACACAACCATGCCCAAAACAGCATAAAATTGTCTATGCCTGCTTTCATACTACAAAGCCAGAGTTGAATAGCTGCAACAGAGATTAATGTTCCCCTAGATGGAAATATTTATAATCTGGCCCTTTACTGAAAAAGTCTGAAAACTCCTCTTATAGATAATATCTGAATTTTACCTTCCATATATGGGAATTAAGAATAAAATGGAAGTGTCAATGCCTTTCATAGTTTTACAGCAGTATACCCCTCTATTTATATTTTCTAGTTCAGTAAGTATACCAATAGATCCCTTCTGAAACATGACTGTACATCTTTATTTGCCAGGCACCTTCCTGTTGCATAAGCAAGCCATTATACTTTTTATGAAAATAAGAAATGCTGATTAGGCTCGGCACCTGTGGCTCAAGCGGCTAAGGCACCAGCCACATACACTTAAGGTGGCGGATTCGAATCCAGCCCCGTCCCACCAAACAACAATAATGGCTGCAACCAAAAAATAGCCGGGCGTTGTGACGGGCGCCTGTGGTCCCAGCTACTTGGGAGGCTGAGGCAGGAGACTCGCTTGGGCCCAGGAGTTGGAGGTTGCTGTGAGCAGTGAAGCCATGGCACTCTACCCAGGGGGACAGCTTAAGGCTCTGTCTCAAAAAAAAAGAGAAATGCTGTTTAAGTGAGACTAAGAAACAAACACAAAGAATAAAAAGCCCTGACAACGCTAACAATTATAGGCATAGTACTGACCTAACAATCCCCATAGCCAGATTACCCCATTACTTACTCTTGTCAAATCCATGCCCAGCTTGAGCTGTGACAAGAGATGCAGGATAACACTTCGTTGCTCTTCAACAGCTCCCAGGTCATCCTCCCTGTTGTCACATGTGTCCTCAATCTCATCATCTGCATTTATTTCTTCAGGTTCCTTGATGTAGTAAATCAAAGGAAACAATCTCGTGTTATAACTACTTATTAGTCTCCATTGAGAATAAAACTACAAACATTAGATCTGAAGACATTTATATTGGACTTAAATGAATGTGAGTATAGACAATAATCTTTCTGAAAATATATCATTTGGCATGGAAAAAGATTCCTTCAAAGAGCCTACTATTGCTGATATTAAACATAGCAGGGTTTTGCCTTATGTATCATATATAAAATACATTTTTTTTTTGAAAGATAGGATTTTTTAAAAAGTGAAGAATATCTCATCTGAATCTCAGCCCTTGAAGGCTTTGACTGTCCTGTCTGGAGATACCACCCTTACCTATAAAGTTCAAGATTATATATATTTTATACACACACACACACACACACACACATTTTTTTTCTTTTTCTGAGACAGCCTCAAGCTGTCGCCCTGGGTAGAGTGCCATGCTATCATAGCTCACAGAAACCTCCAACTCCTGGGCTTAAGCAATTCTCTTGCCTCAGCCTCCGAAGTAGCTGGGACTACAGGCGCCCACCACAACACCCAGCTATTTTTTGGCTGCAGTTGTCATTGTTGTTTGGCAGGCCTGGGCTGGATTTAAACTGACCAGCTCTGGTGTTATGTGGCTGGTACCTTAGCCACTTGAGCTACAGGTGCCGAGCCTATTTTTAGACAGAGTTTTATTCTGTTGCCCAGGCTAGAGTGCCAGCGCCTCAGCTTAGCTCAGAGTAACATCAAACTCCTAAGCTCAAGTGATCCTCCTGCCTCAGTCTCCTGAGTAGCTGGGACTACAGGCATCCATCACAAAGCCAGGTTGGT